TGTATATTCAGTTTAGGTGCTGTCAGAGGCTTTTGCACCCAAAGCAAGATGGAGGTTGCTGTATTCATTCAAGCATGAAATTCTGACTGAGAGATTAAGCCCTTTACACAGATCCCAGTGCTGTTAAATGCCAATGAGACTGTGTAACACACATCTCCAAGTGGAGGAGAGCTTTCTTTTGTTGGTTGTTCAAAATTAGGAATGTAAACAGCTCTCACAGAGTAATTAGTCTGTGCTTGAATTGGGAGAAAGTGATAAAAATAATGACACACCAGAGCTCCTAGTGATGTCTTACAGCTGTATCTTACAGCCTAACAAAGCCGTGTCTGGCTGAATGGGGGCAAGGGCTTCACAGGTGATTAATTTGGGTTGTAGAGCAGAAGTCACACAGGAGGAAAAGTTTAATTGCAGGAGGTCACTTGCAGCTCTTTGAAAAATCCTCTTGCTCATAGGAGGAACGGCATTTTTTGAAGTTTCATGGTGAAAACTGCAACTTTCATAATTCCACAAAGCACACAAGTGTGCTCCAGAAACCCAGGTTTACTCTCACCAGAAATTCATGGGCATGGTGGTGTGAGAGTCCTCACCGTTTGCTTTTTTTTTTGTCCATCCCTAACTTATAAATGGCTGCTTTAGTGAAGCCATGGCTGGATGGTCCCCAGGTAATCTTCGTGCAATCTTTGATAGTGACTCCAGTGAAGCTGTTTCTAGCCATATGTGAGGCTGGTTGCCCTTGTCGGTGTCTTGCTAAAGAGGTTTCTGTGGAAATTAAATAAATAAAATCTCCACCACTGGTGCTAATTGGTGCCTTTGGCAGCCTGAGCAGGGGCTTGTGAATTGAATGTGTCATGGAGAATTGAATGTGTCAACTCTCTCCCAATGGCTGGGACCTTGAGGTCTTTTTCTGGCACTAAATTTCCTTTGAAAAAAAGAAAAAAAAAAAAAAAAGAGGGAGAGAGAAACAAGCTGAAATAAGAGATCTTTTCCCTTATTTTTAATGAGGTGTTGAAGTTGAGCATTGTAGTGTACACACTGCAGCATTTTCTCATCAGATGCTTTGAGAAGTAGGGCTGGTTTCTGCCTTTGTTTCTCAAGCATCCCATTTGTTGCTATCAGACGCTGTGCAGCGTGGGGTGGCAGGTTTTGTTCAGTCTGTTCAAGCATCTGGCAGAATAGCCATGAAGTTGTTGGCGATGTCCTTAAGGGACTGTAGGGATCTGCATGATTCATTCAGTGTTTTTTCTAGGTACAAAGAAGAAATGTCTTACACTGTAGTAAATACAGTTCCAAGTAGAGCACAACCAGCGTACAAAAAAGCAGATTTGCTGCTCTGGCGACACTGACTGGCAGCACAAGCTCCTGTTCCTTTTGTCAAGAAAATGGTATCCCACGTGGAGTCAGTAGACTGGGCTGCATTTCAGGCTGTTGAGGTTCAGC